CACTCTGTACATTACAAAAATATTTTTAAAATGTGCACCCGATAGGCGTCTGTGGATTCATCAAATAATACTTTGCAAAAAACAAACGGGCTAGCTGCAAACGTCCGTGCCATATAGCGTGAATAACCCTGTATATATAATAAAACAGTACAAAATATATCATGTACAATCGTAATGGACAGAAGATACAAACACAGAGGTCATCAGAGTAAGTCAACCACCTATCGTTGCAAGCAATGCAGAATACCCCCACAAAAAAAAATTGAAAAACATGGGTGAATGGAATCAAGCAGCACCCCAAACCATAACAAGGAACAACTGTTGACCCTGTTTACATCATTGCAAGCGGATCGTGATCATACCCATTTGATAGTTATAACACTTGACACAAATGGTCCGTGGGACGTTCTATTTTGATCCCCGTTATCCCGCATGGGATGATCCTTGATAGGATGTCCCTAGGACGCCTCTTGTATCGCACATATATCTCATGCAGATCCCATGCGAGTCGTCCCAGAAACGTTATAATACGTACATATGGAGACGTACCGGGACGCCCCATGGACTTAAGCCTATTATCCTGTAATTACTTCTGTGGGACGTCTCAGGGACCGAGGGGTGTTTACTGCGTAGTGTCGTCCGAGATATTGAAATTTTGCTCGCTGAACTTGAACCCAATATGATTCCGCTCCGCTTGCAACCCGTGGTCCCGTTGATAAAGAATAAAAAAAACTTGATTGTTGATAAACTTGCAAACTGATGACTCCGAAGTAAAAAATTGTAACTACCATACAGGTCCAATCAACCCCCCGGCAACTACCGCATGTCATGCCCAAAAGGAAAAGTTTAATTTAATGAAGTTGAAGAGTAGCCAAACTCAAAAAAAGCACATTACACCAAGTAAATCAGTCACAGAATAAAAAGGTCTTTTTAGGAAGTATGATTTTGTTCTTTCCCGAAATTTTGAAGACGTAGGGAGAGATTTAAGACGGGATGGAAGATGATTATATAATTTCTTGGCGTTGTAAATAATTGAGTTTTTAATTAGTTCCGAGGAGGGAAAGGGTAGGCAAATATCTTGAGTTGAGTTTCGGGTAGGGTACCTATGTTGTGGCCCTTCTGGAAAGGTGACTCGATGTTTGCGTATCAAGCAGATAATAGAATAGCAGATAGATGAATAAAGCGGGAATTGTAAGAATTTTATGTTTTCAAAGTAGTGCTTGCAATGAGCTCCACTCTTCAAGCCAAACAAGGAGCGAATTGTTCTTTTCTGAAGTTTAAAAATACTTTGAAATTGCTGGGTGTTACAGCAGCCCCAAAAATGTAAGCGGATGCGATTTTAAATACTAACGACATCAATCTAGCTTGGGAAAGAATCAAGAATAATATCAAGAATTCAGCAAGGGACGCACTTGGAGAACGAACCATGAAAGTGAACCAAGTAATCAACCACAGACACCATGGTTCCTCCCAGAAGTCAAAGAAAAAAGAAAAGCCTACCTAAAATATTGTAGTATGCGAGCGCCAGAAGCATATAATGAATATGTATAAGCAAGTTAGGAACAAAACTAAATAATTAATGAGAAAAATAAGATATGGCGATTCATAGGATTGCCCAGAAAAGAAGGTCAATGAACTGCTAGAAGAGTGGATCAGATATTTAACCGACCTGTATAAAACGACAAACACGGCAGACGAGCCTACCACACCAGAAATTACTATTAACGAAGATGCCACGATCAATACATCCGACGTAGAAAACGCACTATAGAAACTAAGGAATAGAAAAAGCGCCGGGCAAGACCGTATTCAAAATGAGTGGCTCAAATACAGTGGGCAAAGACTAACGGAAGAATTAACAACTTCAAACTAACAAAAATCATAGATGAATGGCTAACCAGCACTACTGTGCTAATGTTCAAGAAAAGAAGACAGGAGCATACCATCAAATTATAGAGGAATAAACCTTTTAAGCACTGCTCTAAAACTAACAACTAAAGGAATTACGAACAAAATCAACAATCTTACATCGTTGGCGGACGAACAACAGGGATTCAGACCGGGAAGATCTTGCACGGACGCCGTGTTCATATTAATACAAATAGTCGTGAAATCGATTGAATACAACAAGTCAGCGTTTATATGTTTTATTGATCTAACTAGAGCATTTGACCGTGTCCACCTGAAAGACGTCCTGCATCTCCTTTACCAGAGGCAAATCCCACACAATCTCATTAAAACCATAGACAACATGTATACAAACAATAAAATACGAGCACAAATAGAAGGAGACCTCACAGAACCAATACCAGCGGGTAGCGGTATTCGTCAGGGAGATTCCCTGAGTCCTACCCATTTCAATTTAATAATGGACGAAATTGTTCGAAGTGTTCGAGGGCTAAAGGGATACAAAATGGGGCAGAAATCAAAGTAGTGTGTTATGCTGACGATGCCGCTCTAATTGCAGAAAGTGAAGAAGACTTACAAATGTTATTACACTTATTCAACCTGACAGACAAGTCTCTAAATATGGAAATATCACCGACCAAAACAGAGTGCTTAACCATGTCAAAAACCGCTCTAAGATGTAAACTGGAACTTGACGGTAGAGTAATCGAGCAGAAAATTAAATTTAACTAAAACATAAACATAAAATCAAGAATGAGAAGTCTCTTTGCTGACTTAATTACTTTTAGATAATAGATCTTTCTATAATTTGAAATGAATTCGAGAAGTTGAGTGGAGTCAGTAAACTTTTTTATATGCATGAACAAGTGCATATTTTTCGGAGAGGTGCGTGAACCCTTGGTAATCCAATGTTTATAGCGTAAAGGTTTAATGGACCTAAGCGGAAAGGCCTTATTGAAAGCACTGATCATTTTATTTAAGAAATCTCTAAAGCGAGAATTTTGATCCCTGGATTCTAAGCTCCAAATCGTGGTTTGACAAAGTTTGCAAAATTTGAAGATCAGAAGATTCTACCCAACGGGCGAGCTCTCCCCGGGGGTTTTGGGGGAAATATTGAACTTGGCAATTACCGCTTCATGGTCAGAAAGACCTGCGCTAGATGATCGTGAATCAACGAAAGATCGCGACTAATTACCTGATGCTCTGCTTGCTCATGATCTCGCCAGAAGCCGGGTCGACGCTAAACAGATCGGAAGGCTGCTGCAGACTATAGCTGATCACCGAGTTAGGCCCTTGCTTGTCCCGATCCGTGGCCAGCACCTGTCCCACAGACACAACAGAACGCTGCAGCTCAGGGAAATTGAAGCTGTAGTATGAGTGTTCAAACTCAGGCGCGTTGTCGTTCTGATCCTGGATGGTGATGGTGAGCGGCGTTTCTGAGCGCCACGCATCGTCCACTGCTGCCACCTTCAACAGGTATTCGTCCTGTTGCTCTCTATCCAAGTGACCTATTACGGTCACATTTCCGCTGATTGCGTCGATTTTGAACTTCTCGCCGGGATTTTCAACGAAACTGTAGGTGGCGTTGGCGTTCTCGCCCAAGTCCAGATCGGAACTTGTCACTTTTATTACAAACGAGCCGATTTCTGCGTTCTCCGTTACGTTGACGCTAAACAGCCGCGTAAATCGGGGCGGGTTGTCGTTCTTGTCCAGGACAGTGACCAGGACTGTGGTGGTGCCAGTCAGTTGCGGCACCCCCTGGAAAAGAAAAGAGTTTGTCCAACAATATGCGAAATATTGGGTCGGTCTGTTTTGTTATGTCGAAATATTGGACCGCCAAGTGGTTTGAATCGATAATTGACGAGCTATTACTATTTTTGTATCAGTAGCCTACCTGGTCCTCAGCGACCACTGTGAGCTCATAACTAGCCACACTCTCTCTGTCCAACTTCGATTGAGTGTAAATCTCTCCAGTGTTGGCGTCTATTTCAAAAGCGCCCTCAAAGTCATCCATAAGCTTAAAGGTAATTTGGCCATTCTCTCCTGAATCGCGGTCGGAAGCGCTGATTTCAGCCACGAGAAGCGGCGGAAATTCCTCTTCCATAACCTGGAAAAATCCAGATTCAATATTGATTACTCGAACAACCCCAGATTGTTTTACTCCAATTGAAAGTTTACTTACGGTAGCGTTGTAAAGCTGGCTCTTCATAACGGGCGGATTGTCGTTAAAGTCAGTCACGTTGATGGTCAACGAAAGAACGCTGCGCAAAGGAGGCAAGTCGCTGTCCTGCGCCTCGATCCACACCCGGTAGGTCTGAGCGGTTTCATAGTCTAATCCGTTGCCCCAAATTTGAATTTCCCCGGAATTGCGATCAATTTTCAACGATTCGCCCACATTGCCGCCTGCGATCGCATACTTGACGTCCCCACTGGGGCCCTTTTTGGGGGAAGTGGCCTTGAATCGAGCAAACACTTTTCCTGCCTCCACGTTTTCGGACAGAATAAAGTTGGTCTTCCCTGGAGAACTCCAGCGAGGGAATAAATCGCCTGGTTTCAAGTGAACCTGTTGAACAATATTTTGCAAAACTACATTCAACTCCAAGTGATTGGGACTTATGAACCTTCAGTTCCGTGCTGGTTTTCCTGGGCGGTCTGCCTCCATCCCGAGCCTCAATTTCCAGGTTGAACATTCGGGTGGACGAGCGCTGCAGGTCGTAGAGCGCACGAATTACTCCTGTCTTGGTGTCTATGGTGAAGTTCTGCGCATGCTCGCCGATCAATGTGTAGAAGATGGTGCTGAACATGCCGGAGTCTTCGTCGGTTGCTCTCGCTCCGAACACAAAGTCCGCCGCTCTAGTCTGGTCCGAGATGTAAACTTCATATTTGCTGAAGGCAAACACTGGAGAGTTGTCATTTTCATCCAAAACGTCGATAGTTAAGTTTACTGCCGCAGCCCTGGGCTCTGTCAGCGAACAATCCTGCGCAATCAATGTAAGGAAGTACGACGCAGTCGTTTCCCGGTCCAAAGGAGTGCTGGTTGTGATCACTCCAGTATCCTGGTCCACCTTAAACCCTAAAAACGGGTTTAGAGACTTCAATTGGAGGGAAGCGGGGACTTGCCTTCAATTTTCTCCCCCAACAGACTGTAGCGGATCTGTCCGTTCAGCCCGATGTCTCGATCCGTGGCCGCAATGGTCAACACCCAAGATCCGATAGGAGAATTCTCCTTGATGGATGTTTGGTACGACTGCCGCTTGAATTCCGGACTGTGGTCATTCACGTCCTGGACGACGATGCGCAGCGTCCCGGTGCCGGTCAACGGTGGCGAACCTGCGCAATAATATACTGTGAAAATATGCGTCTCGATTGCTTGGAGATCGGAAACCTACCGGTATCCATGGCAACCAGGCTCAGAACATACTCGTCCTGAGCCTCTCGGTCCAAGGCTCTCAACAGCGAAATATCCCCCGTTGATGCGTTGATTCGGAAAATATCCGTGTCGCCCTCTTTGATGAAGTATCTGTGAAATGATCAAAATGATGTAAAAATCCGATTCGAATTGGTCACCAACGGTGGAAACGTATTGAAGAAGCTTTTCTATATACGCGGCAAGTCTTTGATAAACGTTTCAAGAGTGAATGAACTTACCTAACCAAATTGTTGAAAGGAGGCGTGTCTGCGTCGTAGGCCTTAACTGTGATGACGTAACCGCCATTAGGAGGCACCACATTCTCGGTAACGTAAGCCAAGTATGGGGAATCAAGGAAAGTGGGGGGATTGTCATTAATATCGGACACCTGCAAAGCATTTGATTGTTAAAGCTCTGCCTATTTGAACTAGTCAGCGGCTTTTGCCTACCAAAATAGTGATTATGGCTGTATCAGACCTCACGACGCCCTCGCTCACATCACCCGCGCAGTCCTCCCCCTTAACGGTGAGGACATATCTGGAGGTGCGCTCAAAGTTGAGGTTTTTGGCAACGCGCACAATACCAGTGTCCTCCGCAATGCTGAAGTCGCGATTGGTGTCCCCATGACTTATCGAGTAGCGGACACGCCCATTTAGGCCGTCATCTACGTCAGTGGCTGAAACCTGCGCAAACCACATGTTCTACAAATTCATCCTACTACGCCCTGATCGCTAATTACCCGTAAAACCATTGCACCAATCGAAGCGTTCTCCGCTACAGTTGCGCTGTATTGCTTCGGATCAAATATAGGGCTGTTGTCATTTTCATCCAAAATGCGTACCAGTAGCGACATATTGGCGCTTTTCGGTGGTTCACCGCGGTCCCGTGCGGTGACCATCACCGTGTAGTTGTTGCGCAGCTCACGATCAATCGGACCGCTGACACGCAGCACCCCATCTACCGACCCCAATGAAAACACTGGATTCTGTGACAGCGAGTACTCAATGTAGCCGTTCCTGCCTGCAATTAACCAGTTAGTTCCCCTGTCACTTGTCTACTGTTAGCAACTGTTTAAAAACGTACCCTCGTCTTTATCAATTGCCTTAATGGCCATAACCATGCTGTTCTTCGCGATATTTTCTATGACGGCTGTTTCATTGGGCGTAACGAATTCCGGCGCCATGTCGTTCACGTCCTTGACGATGACAGTGACCTGAAATAAAATGCGCAAGTTTAAAAGTCCAAACGCCCTCTGGCGGCTAAAATTATAACTACACGTTAACTAGTAATTTGACACTTTTGTTCTTGACATTGGTGTTTGGGATTTGTTTCGTTCCGTTCTAATCAACATTTGCAAGATTTTAACGAAATGAAAACAGATCGAAAAATGTGTAAGTATTGCTTCGTGTTATAGATGTCATCAACTCCAAATAAACAAGTCTGACAAGTCTCAACTGTCACTCGACAACGAGTAATTTGACGTTTCGCAGCGCCACCATCGGTAGTTGAACTCGCGAATACCTGTTGCTCTAAGTACTCAGAATGGAAGCGTCACTCACCTGCACGGTCGAAGACAGTCGCTTCTGAGGCTCCATAGCTTGATCGGTAGCGGTCACGATCAGATTGTAGAGGCTGATTGTCTCTCTGTCCAAGTGCCGTATTGTGGTTATGGTTCCGTTCTGAGCAATGCGGAAGTCGTTGTTTGGGTCGCCTCCTGTGATGTTGTAGGCGATTTTTCCATTCTCACCTAAAGAGCAAATGCACTACTATAGGCACATGCTACTATTTTGAAAATAAGCCTGACGAAGATGACTGGCTGGAGTGTTTTTTGCTGCGGTCAGATACCAAAAATCGTCATAAGTTAATTTAGAAGCTCTCATAGTCTATCGGAAATATAACTATCTCTTAATCACCCTGAAGATTTTATTTTAAAATAAAAATTAAAAAGTGAAAAACCACATCTTAAACAACTGCAGATTGGTGCGTGATTGAGCACTTTTTGAGTGAGAAAAAATCAAAACAATCAGTCCAACGACCGATTTGCTGTGATAAGTGCAAGAAATCGACCTCAGCCGAACCCTGCCGGTAATTACCGGTAATTACCGCATAGACAAGACCGTCCTGACCTTTCCTACAATTTGCCGCGTGCCGACTCGAAGTGTCAACTTATGATTATCTAGATTCCTCTTTGTCGCCGTTTCCGCAAAAATGAAATTTTTTTTTGCCAATGGTTACCGAATGTAGTCCCACAGCGTTGCCACGTAGGTACATTTAAAAACCGAGAATTGATTAAAAAGTAAGTACCAGAATCCAGATCAGTTGCGCTAACAGTCACAATTTCGCTGCCGATAGTGATGTTCTCGAACACGTCGTTACTGTACGACATTGGGTCGAATATGGGCGAATTGTCGTTCAAGTCCAACACGTTACAGTAGACCGTCAAAGTGCTGCTTAGTGGATGGATGCCAGAGTCTTGAGCTTGAACCACCAAAATGTAGTGCTGCACCTGAAAAGATTTTTAATTTATATTTTTCCTATTGATATTGTGCTCATTTTACTCGCTCAACAACTGCTTTTATCACCAGAACACTATACCTTTTAACACTAAGATTCCATTAGTAATTTTGCTTTAATTTGCATTTAGTTTCTGTTGTTGCCTTTGTTACTTTGCACGTAAATCGTCAATTATTTACGTAATATTTATATGTTTGAAAAATATTCACAATTATACACAGTGCTTCAGGAAAGTTGCAGGCCTGGGTAACACTGTGTTGAGTCGCGCTATTGAGTTGTTGCCGCTGTCTGAGTTAATGAGTTATCATTCATTTGTTAAAGCTTTAGAAGACCCGAGACTAGAATTTTAACATCTAAAAAGGGGTTAATAACATTTTTTCTTTCTGACTTCTTTAAAGTCAACGAGTTTTCTTGTAAAATATCTTCATTTTTTGCATTAAAGCTTCAGTTTGCCAGTATATTACAGCAAAACGTTAGGAAAAAATCGGTTTTTCTGTTTAGAGACAGTGTTGTTTAGAAATATTGACCTAAACGTGAAGAAACTCCAGTTTCTAAGAGTTTTCCAAATAAATGATTATAAACTTCAGCTTTTTCAGTTCGGGGAAATAATTTTGGAAAAAGACCTAGAAATAATTATTAGGGTTTTGTCAATAATTCGCTGCAAAAAGTTTCCAAACATTTTTGCAAAGCGGTTAAGGAGGCGAGTGTTTCAATAAAATGTATCTTATAATTTTTCACAGAAAATACCTGAAGATTGCCAGTATTTTAAGTAAAACTAAAAAATAATGCGTTTTTTGCGTAGAAAGAATTGCTTAATAGCAACTTTGTTAAAACTGGAATGACCTGAACATTTAAGGAAACTTTAGAAATCTTCAGAGCGATGAGGGCGGCGAATATTCCAAGTAATTTTTTGTAAACTTTTGATTTCTGGTCATTTTTTAAGATAGTCATAATTAATTTTGGGTAAAAAACTGAATAAAATTAATTGCTTTTCGTGCTAAATTTGAAGCTGAAAAGAGTTTTCTAAAGTTTCCTGCAATCCGATGAATGGGGCGAATTTTCTAGCAAAATTAACTTTGTTATTTTTGAGTGAAAACATCCCATTATTGTCAATAAAGAACAAATTCATCAGAAAATAATGCTTTTTTGCGTTAGTTTTGTGATCGGTTTTGGAAGAAACCTTAATGGTTTTCAAAAAAAAACGGTAGGTATTTATTTTTGTTT